TGGTGGCCCTGTCCACGATAATAAGAATCCCATCGTTCTCATTCTCTGATTTTGGAAGACCCATGATAAAATCCAAGCTCACATCTACCCACTTGTTCTGGGAGCTTGAGCGGCTGTGGGAGTTTAGCAGATACATGGTGGACGGCCTTCTCATGCTGGTATACTGGGCACCCCATCACAAAATCTCTGATATCAGGGTGTGCTCAGGTCAGTAGAAAGTCTTTTGTATATTCTTCAATGTTTTGTGGCCGCCCAAATATCCTGAATAAGGGACTTCATGAAGTTCCCTCATGATCTACTCTTTGATGTCTGAAAACATCTAGTACCACTAGCTGCCACTGTGATCACTGGTGCCTGTCGCTATCCTTCATCTTCAAAAATCCTCTGGTCAGCCGGAAAGATCGACCTCCAATGGTAACCATATTTTCTTGAGCAGACTCCAGTTGGGATGTGATGTTTGCCCAACGAGTGTTCTGTCTTGGGCCACTTTTAATCCTCTCCCTCAACTCTCTCGCCAATGATATGTGAGACTTTGTGACCAAAATTGAAGGTCCCATTTCTTCTTCCTGACCCACCACTTGGGTCACCTCCGGTCTACTCTTTGCAAAAATTTGATCAAATTTCTTTTGGATCTTATTATTAGACGGCTTTTTACTCAATATCAACCTCTTTACCAACGACTCCTCTTCCTCACGGACATTTATCAATTCTTTGATGTCCTTAATGCTTTGTCTAGTGAGGAAATTAGCAGGGTTCTTCTTTCTTGGTATGTGGACCAGGTCGCAGCCATACTAGAGGTGGCCACTCAAGATGCCATCCGCTCCGTTAAATCCGGTTCGTTAATTTTTGTCAGCTGTTCGTTAAATTCCGTTACAGAAAAAGGGAGAAAAATTCAGAAAAAAACGAAAAAAATCGAAAAAAATCGAAAAAAAACCCAAAAAATCACAACAACTGCGGCTAGTTGAAAATCTAGTATGCATAGGTTGAAATAAAATACAAACATGCTCTCTAATAGCGAATTTCATAAACTATAAGTATGAAAAAACCCCAAAAATCCCCCAAAAATCCAAAAATCCGTTAATTTTTGGGTAATTTTTGTCTTTTTTTGTTATTTTCCGTTAATTAACGGATTAATTAACGGAATTAATCTCTGTCCGTTATTAACGGATCCGGGTGGCCACCTCTAAGCCATACCCCTGCAAAACCTGTACCCATTTCCAAATTTACCTATTGATTGCTGGCTAATAGGGTAGGTTTTTCAGCGAGTCGTGGTTGGTCTCGATGGTGAAATATCGTCATGCAAGATAATGCCTCTACTTCCCCACTGCCCACATGATTCCCAGCAGTTCCCACTCGTATGCACCATATCGTGTCTCTGTAGGATTCAACTTTCTGCTCTCATAGCAAATTGGCTAAAGTCCTGAGCCGAAATCCTACTAGAGTATTGTGCCAATTGACACCTCATAAGCATCGGTGGTGACCGTGAATTCCCTATCAAAGTCGGGTAGCTGCAGGACGGGGGCAGTGACCATTGCCTTGTTGAGACCATTAAAGGCCTTCTCCTCCCGGTCACCCCAGATCCAAGGTTTGTCCTTCTTTGTAAGGTCTATAAGGGGTGCATTGATCTCAGAGAACCACCGGATAAACTTCCGGTAGAAGCTGTAGAGCCCTAGGAAAGACCTGACATTGGTGACGCTTTCTGGTATAGGCCAATCTAAAATTGCCTTAACTTTTGATAGTGGCGTTTTGATGCCATCCTTCCCAACGTCAAAGCCAAGGTATTCGACTTCAATTCTGAAGAAGTCGCACTTCGGTAGGTATCCGAAGAACTTTTGCGATCATAACCGGTCCAAAACTGCCTTTATATACTTGAGGTGTTCTTCCTTGGTATGATTAAATATCAAAATGTCGCCCAGGAATACCAACACAAAATTGTCTAGACCATCTTATAGTAAATGGTTTATGATCCTCTGAAATGTGGTTGTGCATTGCAGAGGCCGAAGGGCATCACTGTGTATTCAAATGAACCATATCTGGATATGAACACCGTCTTGTGTATATCTGCCTCCTTCACACGAATATGATGGTATCCGGAGGACAGATCAATCTTTGTGAAATATTGGGCGCTGTGCAAACAGTCCATGAGCTCCTCGACCTTTGGGAGCAGATACCAATTCTTGGTTATTATTTTATTCACAGCCCTGTAATCAATGCAGAGTCTCCACTTCCCGTCCTTCTTGGAATAAACAGGACAAGAGCTCCACAAGGGCTCGTGCTGGGCCGAATCCACCCCTGTGCCAAGAGATTTTCAATTTGGTGCTTTAGTTCATCCATCTCAGCCACACTCAGCCTGTATGGGCTTTTGTGTTGTGGTGTAACTCCGGGCCTCGTCTCAATCTCATGGTCAACCATTCTTTTTGGGGGTGGCCCATATGGCAGCTTGTCAGAGAAAACATCCTTGTACTCCTCCAAAATCCCCTTGAGTTCATCCCTAACAGCTGGGTCAGCTTCTTGCACTTTCTTTTGAATGATCTCAGCAATCGGCACCTCTGTTTTTACCAGTCCGGTTTCCTTCATCAACCGACAGCGTTCTCCCTCTGTCTGGCCCTTGGCTGCACCTGCCTTGGTCTTGGACTTTGCCTTTTTCCTCTCAGGCAGTTCGGCTATTGGCCTTATTAAACACAGAAGCATGGGCAAGTCACTTTTGTTTGCCCGCTTGGCTGCTTGCCTAGCTGACATAAAGTCAATCTTTGGGCGTATAGGTTGACTGACAACGCATCCAGCCACCTTGACTTGCCTCCTGTGCCCGCCTTTTGATTTTCCCAGAGATTTTGCTTGTTCATTTGGCGAGAACATTTCTGGTACTCCCCCTTGGGGAGACTCAACAGCCCTCAGTGAGTTACGACCAGCCATTGTCTCATGGCTTGGTGTATGTGCCCACTCTTGTACCAAGATAGTTGGTTCCCAGCATGATGGAAAACTCAACTTGGCGAGCTGATGACCCCAGTCTGAATTAGGCTCGTTCCAAGAATGATGACGAGAGAAAATTTGCTGGAGACTAGTAAGGCCACGGTCAATAATCTTGCAAGATGCATTTTGTGGTGTCTCAATTCCCTGAACCACCTCGAGTTTGTTCCCATTTCGCAAAACCAGGGAATTGGTCCTCCAATCGACCAACGGGTTGACAATATCTAGCCAGTCCCGACCGAGGATAACATCAATCCCGTCCATCATTGGGACGTCAGTGACACCTTACTGACCGTGCTGCCAATACATATCAGCACATCTGGTGCAATTCCCGTAGAGACTATTGTCTCTCCATTTGCCAATTCTAGGGATGAATACGCACCAACGAATGACAATGGTGGTCTGGTTCTGATTTGGTCACTCACAAATAATCGAGTGGCCCCAGAATCCACCAAAGCTGACATGCGTGTGTTATTAATCACCGCTCTGAGGATCAGGAGCAAGTGATCCCGTGCTACTGGCTCAGGGTCTGACCTCCCCTCAGCAATGAGCTCCGTAGTAGGATCTTCCAACCACCCGCGCCACACGTCGCCACATTGCATGCAAGTTTGTAGCCCGGCCTGCACTTCCACCAGGGAACCGCACATGCAGATCCCCAAGATCGCCTCTGCGGCCATGTCCGACATCCGGATGCGGATCCATATCGTTGCCATTCTACTATTCCAGCACGATCGGCCAGATTTTTTCTGTCACGTTGGTGCAGAGTGGTGCGCTCAGCCACTCTGCACACTTAGCCTTAGCATCCGGGCGAGGACGTATTCTCTCGGCATGTCACACACCCCTGACGGGTGATGTGCGGATTCCCAGTACTTTAGGTGTATTTTGTCGTGTCTAACTGGCCTCTGTCACGTGGCCATAGGAGAATCGGGCGCCGTAGACACATGGTATTGGGCATGCATACAAATCATCAACTGGAGTCTTCTATAACCGCAGTAGATCAGTCGAGTTGGAAGATTGAGTCTCTCTGCGATGGTTGTTGGCCTCCCAAACTTGCATTCTTCCTCCTATAGTCCTGGGCCTCATGGGGCGCCAGTTGGGCGAAGTTATATTAAGCGGTTTTCATGCTTTTGCCTTTTGGCATTGATTGGTGATCCGAACAGTACGGTAATTAACAGATGGTAGCGGGTGGCCAGCGCCGACCTCTATCTTCCACACAAAACGATTAATTACAGGGATGCTGCACAGGAAATTGAAAGAACGGGGATCTGTTGGGTCAACAAAGACAGGCAAGACAGCTGGGGAAGAACCCGCGGAGTCCACGTGGATCGAATCTGCCCCCAAGTTGGGCAGGAAGTACTATTTCCATCCCGAGACAGGCGAGTTGGTGTGGTTCCGCCCTGTCGACCTGTCATGGTGCGAGGTGCCCAATGACGACGGCTCCAACATGATTTATTGGTTCAATGAAGCGAATGGAAAATCTCAGGTGGAAATGGCAGAGCCTATGGCGTGGCAGAGTGTGCGGTACGTGTCACCAGCATGACCACGCATGTGGCGTGCAATTGTGCGACGGTTGTGCAAGGTCACTGTGTGATTCAGTCTGCAGCCTGAAAGCGCAGGAATAGCCTAGGGCCAGAGCAATAGGATTGTTAACAACGTGCGCACTCGCAGGGGTTGGTTGGGTTCCTGTATCTGCACAGCAAGGCATCTACCATCCCCCTTCATGAGTCGTGTCTCTTGGTCCTTGCAGCTCATGTGCGCATGGTGCACGTCTTCGAAATGCTGACACAGGCAGGCATGACACGACAAAGAGCGCGCCCTATGCCCATGTCCCATTCGCAATGCCTTAAAACAATGAAACAAGAGACCATCAATAAGTCAATGCAACCAGCCCGACAACAGTTCCCACAAGAGGACAAGAAATTCAACAACAAAGACCTTCCTCTCGACTGAAAATGAAATGAAGCACGGCCCTGTAAGCCTCGCCAATTCTGAATGCAATGAAATCCCCAAATCATGCTCGTTCATTTCAAATGTCAAGCCACTGCAAGTCGCTGATCGCCTGGAAGCCATTGCTTTTCCATCGTGTTCCCAATCAATCCCTTAAGGCCCCTGTCCCACCTTCGCACCAGGTCTTGAACCTGGTCCATCACGCTGTGCATAGGATCCAGCTTGCTAGACCAGCCCTCCAACACAAAGACTGTGAACAAGCATGAGCAAATTTCGCCTGGCAGCACAACTTGATGGCGCCTCACTAAATCCAACACGTGGGCCAATGCATCAACACCCGATTCGAAAGGTGAACCGTCCCATGTCTCCGAGGCATTCATCATTCGGAAGTGCTCTTGCATGTCGCAATGGAAGGCGTGCGCATCTGGGCATGTCTGTGCTGGACCTGGAACACATAGACGACATGGAAACGCTTCACGACCCTCCATGACACCATTCCATAGGCGCAATGAGCACACTCATCAACGCATTGCGAACCACACAAATAGGTGCAAGGCCTGCAGCTAATCGAGGCAACGATACGACAGGATACGCAAATTCGATGGACATTTTCAGACGGGCAGCACGCTCCTTTGCTAGTGGGCTGTCTCCACAGCGCCTTGCTGCATTCATGGCGTGGTGTGTGCGCCCGATTGCACCTTCCTGGGTCCCAAGCAGTGCTGTTGTGTGTGCTGAGCGGAAGCTAAGCGCCCATATGGCCAGCTGCAGATTGACCAAATAACAGAACCTTCAAACATGAGCCACCCAACATGCGTCTCCATGTATACACATGAACGGTCCTCCAAACACCACAAGATGCTCCCGTCGTTTCCATGAATTCAAGGGCTTACATGCAGCTGACTCACAGATGGTCGCCTAATCAGTGCATGCAGGGTTGAGCAACCACATTTAGGATGGGAGAGCCAACGAAATCGCTGTTATGAGGATGCCAGAGCTCGACCAAATGCCCTCATGCTCAATGACTGACCAAGCAGATAACGTAAATTGAGGTATTGTATACCATAATGATTTAAAACTTGAGGGTGTGTGCTGCACCATTGCTTACCTGCAAGCTTCAATGTTGCTTCTGCAGCTGCAGTTCCATCCTTGTTTGCAAATGCTTGAAACAATTTGATCATGAGCTTCCTTTCTTCATCCGTCAACTGGGCAGCCATTCCCGCATCCAGGAGAACAATATGGTACTCCAGGGGAAAGACCTGATTGTGGATGTCCGCAGTCCATTTAGCAAGCCTCTTCATGATGCTATTTGGATCCATTCCTGCAGTCAGCTGCTCTAGTTTCCTGCTTGTTGCTCCCAAAATGTGTGGAAAGACACCATCTGGCAGTCCACGCTCAACCAGAATATTTCCCGGGTGCAGATCGGCGTGCAAGAGGTTGTGGACCAGCAACATGTCGAAAAATGTAGAGGACCCAAGCTCTGCAAGATTGCAGTCCACCGCTGGAGACCTTGGACCGTTCACAATTTCTTGGATGCTATTCCCTTCATGGAATGTTTCCACCAGGATGTTGGGAGCTACGAGCGGGAAGAGGGGTTCTGGAAACTTCACAGAGCTCATTTTTCGGAAGTTGTAACGGAAGCACCGCAAATTTGCTGCCTCTATGCAAAGGTCCACCTGAAGCCACAGGGGACAGTTTGTGAGACATTAGAGGTACACACCTACACATAATACCAGCACACTGCCTATGTTCTGTTTCTATTGTTTGGGATGCTGATGGACAACCTCCCAAGATCTCATGCTGATTTGCTGGGCTGGCAGTGATGAATACTTCTTCTTCTTTGTTCATCAGCATACATGCCTGTTCCATACCAACAGCAAGCGAAGGCAGGACACCATGCATCACTAACGGCTTCCTGCAGTCTCCTAGACAGGGCTTCTTTCCTGCACTACTGATAGAAGAACACATTCTGTCTGCAGCATATGCATGAACAGTGTTTCATGATGTCGTGAACATCCCACAGCAACCGAAACTTCTGCATTCAGTGCCCATTGTTACATGATGGTGATATGAGATGGATGAACCATTGCAGCCTACCCACAGCATTGCATGGACATAGCCTTCAAAAATGCGTGTGGATTCCAACTCGACGTCGGTCACATAGACAGCTGCAATCCACTTGCACTCCATAAGATTGCAACCCTGTGTGCACTGAAGGATGCACAATCATCCAGGGTGCAGGAAAGAGTTCCCAAACCAAAAGTGAAATATCAGAGGCATGGGCTGTGCCTGTCGACAAGCGCACCATGGTGCCACAGGGTGGGGCACACCAGGCGCAAGAGAGGCACTAACGATTGACAAGCAACCCTACTGCAAGGACACAGCAACTGCTACACACCTGCTCTCGCATGGGACCAGCAAATTGCTTAAGTGTCTCTTCCAGCTTCAATCCCTTCACATATGGCAGTTTGCACACCCAATGTGCCAGCATCAGCATCAAAGAAACATCCCTTTCAAAGGCCAAGTCCACATTGGGGTGCCTAACCTTGAAAACAGCAGAGGAAAGTACACACATTGTCAGCAATTTCCGCACAGGGATGGCTCTAGTGAGTTTTCTGCAAACCAGGGTCGACTGGAACACATATGCATGCACGTGCAGGTGCTGCCCAGGAAAGCAGCCTACTTGTGCACACCAGGCACACAACACAAGGCATAGCAACACTTCCTGCCTTCAAACAAACATCCAATAAGGCGGACACTTGAGCTATGAAAGGTAAACCTTTTCGCTTTTTTCTCTTTCACATAAGGATCCATTCACTTTCACATTGGCAAACACATGAGCACAGCAAGGTCCCAATAATGGTTGTGAATTGTGGGCATGGTTCTCAGCCATGCATCGTGCTGGATCCCACCTTGACAGCAACCGTTGTGCCAGCAGGCCTCCCCGTTATTACTGCCCCAAGGCCGCCAATCACAGCTTTGTGTACTTGCCCAATGCTGCCACTTGCAACTGGCTCCCTCTCAAAGGACGAGAACAAGTCCTCCAGTGGAAATCCAAAAGTGCCCTTGATAGCATCTCTGGTCAATTCAAAGCTGCAGAACACAGGCCATCCAGATGTTATTGAGGACATGACATATGTCCCCAGTGCATACATTTCAACAATCAGTCTTGGGACCAGGATGAAGGTTATGCCAGTTGTGGCAGAGGCACCTTGTGGACAAGGTACTAGGATTGGCAGTGTCACCTGTGTGCTGGTGCTTGGACCTGCAACTTTTCAAGTTCCTGACAGACTTCATTCGGGAACAGGTCACGGCGTGTTGCAGCCCACTGGCCCCACTTGATGAATGCTGGCCCACACCACTCCAACATTTTGCGAAGGTAGTGACACCATTTCTCTGACCGCCACTTGGTCGACAGAGCAAAAGGAGCTGTCAGCACAAGGGGAGCAAACGCGATCAACAAGCAGAAGAGCCGCCAGCATGTGTAGACGCTGAACACCACCTGCCAACAGCAAGCAGTTCAGGTTGTGTCAGAACATACTCACAGCACAAGAAACATGACATGAATGAAAAGGTGAGCAAGGAAGAGTTCCCAATAATCATTAAACTCAACAGCATTGCTAGCGGCTGAGCTACACGTGGTCCCTTCCAGCGCAACAAGACTATCACATGACCATGTACATTCAGTACCCATCGCCCTGGACAAAAGCTCTCAACCTGGCACCATGCAGCAAACAGCTTCAAAGCAGTACTGTAGTGCCATCGCTGACACATGGGCGCTGCTAGGACTATATCAAGAAACAGATACATATGCTGCTGGTTTGCCTGCAATTGAAGCGACCTGCAACAGCTCTCACTGGCTGGTGTGTTGCCATACCAGTGCTCTTGGAACATGGTCAATCACAGTCCTGGTCCCAAAAGGCCTAAGGGTCCTGTTGGGATTTCTGGTCCAAGTCAACCAAGAGTTGGGAAACACAGGCAGGAGGTGTGGTGTGGCGATGGAAGGATTGGGAGGCTGCCCATTTCGTTCACCCATTTCTGCATTTCGCATCAATCTTTTTGCCATCAGCAACACATTGTGAGGGAAAGGAGTGAAGCCAACTGGCTAGTGTCTGCTGACTTGTTCATGGGTGATAGCCAGGGAAGATTACCAGATTTCCTCACATTTTGGCTCATGACATTCTACTCGTATTTCCTGTCATGGACATGGGTATATGTTTGACCACAGTTTGTATGTGCTGCAGATGGGTAGCAAATGAAGCAAGAACAAGTGAGGGGAACACAAAACGTTTAGGATGTTTGTGGGCTCATCATCACCTCCAACAGTCAAGGACCCCACCTTATTCTGTGAAGGCAATGTAACACAAGGCATTTGGGCCACAGACTACAGTTGGTCACAGGTACATGAATGCCACACCTGCTGCATTCCCACACTGAGGAACTGGTGTCCAAGGGGCTTGTATTGCATGCTCTGCACTTCCCTCCAGGGATACAAGATGTCTCTACTTAGAGCCTCAGCAGTTCTGCGCACATGGAAGCCAAACAAACTGCTAGGTCAACTGTGGTATCAGATGAAGGACAAAAGTAAAGCACAACACAAAGGAGTCTCAACAGAAGATATCAATTCTGCACTTTTATCAGAAGCTGATACTTCCCCTTTCCCCTCCCCCCAGCCTCAGCACAACAGGCACCCAAGCTTTATAGCCTCCCAGAGGCGCATGCAATGCACTCGACAAAGGACAAATCCACACGAGAGCCAGTAGAGTTGCCACCTCTCTCCAATTAATATCATAGAATCGCATGCCCGTATCTGTATTTGTAGCCTAGAAATTCCAGGCGCTCAGGTACAGTGAGCTGTGCATGTATAGTACCAAGAGCAAAATGTACAGCAGTGACTGCTGTTATTGTGGGTGGGTGGGGAGAAAGCACTGGCTGCCTGCCTAAACACATATCAGCTATGTATCAGCTACCCCACGACTACCTTACGCTTCCCATGAACTGCATGCGTGGACTTCCAGGGCTGCTGTAACAATCGCCACACCAGCAAAACACCAGTGCCATCACACACAGAGGGGTCAATTCCTGGAGCAGTGTATGCTTGCAGCATACTCAGAAGCACAATCCACAATGTGCATTCTTGCAGCCGCAAAAGGGCTTGTACAGCAACACACCAAGGTGATTACAAAGGTGAAGCCTCCACTAAAGGCCTGAATGCATAAAGGCCTGAATGCGTAAAGGCCTGAATTTTGCACCAGCACAAATTTATCTATCTCACATTTCAACAACCAAGGTAGAGTGTTCCCGCATTTCCCACCACCATTCTAATCTATATAAACTTTAACTCCATGCCTGCATCATGTGCCGTGGCCTCCATTTGAACGCACCTTGCACTGTGAATCAGCTGTGCCGCCAGCACACAAGTCACGCGTGGAAGATGTGGTCCAGCAGTGTTTATCGAGTTAACAATAGCAACAGCTGCCCATCGCCCTGGCCTCATGCTCCCTGCCACCATGTCAGGGAGCCAACAAAAAGAATTGCGAAGAACACCAGAAACCAACAGCCATCTTTCAGCAGACCACCAGGCGCCACGGAGATCGAATCCCTGAGAGCCAATGCAAACCAAAGTAGGAATACACAGAATGCTCCTCTCTGTGCTTGTACCAGCAACTGCATCGCCCTTTTGGCACTCAGGGTTCATCCCTCTTCCTATGAGGGTGCCAAGTATTCTACTGGTAAGTGCAACACGCCCAAAGCAAAACCGACAGAAATGTTTCCACTCCATAATGCTCAGTATTGTGCATGTTGTGCAGAGAAACACTGGCACACATATTCATAAGACCCACACAAACAGGCACTTCCAAAATCGTCTCGATGTGCAGAAATCATGCTCCAGGTTAGAATTCACTATCTAACCCTGAGAATATGGCTTTGTCTCTACCTGCAATGTCAGCTGTGTCACATCATACATTGGAAACATCTGGATAACACCATTTTGGGCTCACTTGCACGCCAACCTAAAAAATAGGCAATTTGCGTGGTTGTCACCACTCATATTACCTCTGTTACAAAGTCTTGTCTGTTATCCAATCAGGCCAAATGAAGGTCCAAACGTGTGAGTCAGTTAATCTGACCAGAACAACTTCGATGTGCCCTGTTGAGAGCTATTCATAGAGCCCTTAAACGTAGCAAGGCAGATCGCCTAGCGATATGTCAAGAAAAGCTGAAACGGCATTTTTCCTTGTGTCAGGACCTAATCCGGGCCACGACAAGCTTGTTTTGCCCTTCATGGAGGTGGATCGATCTTATCAACCCCTAGGAGAGGTGTATTGCTTGATGGTTTGGAATGCACAAAAGATGCCGCTAGGTTCCAAACACGATCCACAGCACAAAGGTCGGGAGGTTTGTTACAGAAATTGGGGTGATGTCCACTATTTGTGAGTGTTGAGGCCAACGGCCAAGAGATTCGTTGATCTGTGCGAGAGCATCAACCTGGTAGATGCACCAAGGTCTGGAATATCGTCAGGTGGTGTTAACCAAAAAGACGACTGAGGTTGAGGCCAACATGGCCAATCGATGACAGTTGATAATTTTAGAAACACAATTCAACAAAGTGGAAGAGATAGTCCACAAACAATGCTGCCGAAACCCTTGAAAAGGTATACTGATATTCCATTGTTGTCTACAACAATGCTCTTGAGGAACTTTGGGGAGAGGGACTGGAAGAAATCAGGATAAGGAGAGGACAAAGTGCTGGGAATTGAGGTCCAGGCAAAAGTGGACGGGGATACTTTTGATAAAGAGATGAATTTCTTGCTGTATGGTGATGACCAATACAGTCAAGAACAATACCAAACCTAAATCGACCATAGAGTCCGAATTTGGTGACAGATTGACTAGTTGAGTGGAACTTACAAAGCTGTTCCAGACAAGACTTTTGTAACAGAGGTAGTATGCAAAAGAATAATGCAACTGCAGAGCACAGTGCACCACATGAAGATGCAACACTGTGGGAATACTCCCCAGTACCCTTGTCCACATCCTCAGTGTAATGAACTGCCCGCTACTTGTCAATTGCGCACCTTCAGCCAAGGGACTGACCACAAGCCATAGCCAGCAAACACCTGGTTGTGAGGCTCTTCGCCAGTGCTCCAAAGTGTGTTGATAGTGTGCACCCAGCAGCGGTAGTGAAGGTGAGCTGAGTGCCTGATGTGCCCAGTGCCTTGTACAAGAAAGGTGAAAACCCTGGGTGTATGCGCCCATGTTCCCGCCTGTCTATTGATCGCAGGGTGTTGCGGTTCCAGCAACTTTTCAGCTCAGATCGCCACTGTCCTGCTGCCCAAGCGTGTTTGCCCCGCACTGTATGGAGGATACCCACAGTCCGCACTGTCGGGAACCAAACCGACTGTGTTGGTCCTAAGAAGTGAGGTTGGACACGGAGAGAGACGAAACCGAAGCCAGCAGTGTGCAACCTTCCTCCCCATTGCACACATCCTGGAAAGACAATGGGCACGAGCTGGCCGTATTTCGCAGGGAGCAACGAAGCCAGCTGTCGTCCTGATTGGTGCAGGGCCCGCCACAACATCCTGACACAAACATCACTTCTGACTCAAACTCTGCTGTCGCTACCAGCAGTTGGCCAAGTGCTGCCGCCAGACACTGTGCGTGAATAGGTCGTCCCCGTCCCCGACTCAAGGTGCCATTTCGACAAATGCACAGAGCCTGCCAGCAGAGTGACTACAGGGGGGCAAATTCAACCCCTTGTGCCGCTTTTCGCACTCATGGCAACTGCTGCCCGACAAACGTACAGACTCTGTACTCACAAAGATTCAAGCTCTACGGCTTTGGCTTGGGTCCCCAACAGCCATTGCCCGGCGAGCATACCCTGAGTGTTGCTCGTGGGCGCTGGTCACAACGCGATAGTCGCCAAATGAAGACACTTCAGGGCAGCGTCAGGTTCCGTCCTAACGCGCACCATCTGGGCGATCACTGCTGCAATCAGACAGCCCTTCCTGTTCTCAAGCGTTTGCTCATGGCGGTGCAAGAAGCGGAGCGCCCATAGGCTTCCATTGTTCTAAAGGGAAAGGCGTTGGACAAGGGTTTGCAGCGACAGGCGCAAGATCTTCCGAGGCAAGGTGCACCGATGCTGCCCGGCTGGATGCGCATGATCACGGAGGACGGTCCAGCGATCCAAACCTTCGCTGGCCGCCGGAGTGTGCGCAAGGCCGTGGCCTGTGTGCCACCACCCCTAAACGCGCACAGCAACATGGACTTCAAACGCCCCCGCCGCGCGAGATCCATTTTACCCGCGCTGCGCAGGGTTCCAGCGCCGATCGCCACGACGCACCTTGCTCACGCCTCAGCGCCGCGCCATGCGTTGGTCGCTGCAACCACAGTGAGGGCCAGGGACAGAATTGTGGATGACGCCAAAGTATATGGTCGGAATATCGCCAAGGTGCGCATCGGATGCTTGGTAGCCGGTCGCCCTTCGCCCTTTAATCCAGCGCCAGTCTCCCGGGACCCTACGTTCGGTACTACTGCCGCTTTCCGACAAAAGCGCTGGCGGTTGTGCGTTCTTGTGGACACCCCTTAGATTAGTGCATCTGAATGCCCCAATCTGGACATGTGCTGTGCCTAATGTACAGGCCAATTCCCTCAGCCCCAACTTTACCAATCTGGGCTTGCTGGGAGTTCTCCAAGGAGTGGAGTGCTCGAGCACCTAGTTGTTGGTTTAGCACTCCCATCCTCGGAGGCCTCCCAGCAAGCCCATATTGTTATATTCGTTATTGGGGCTGACGGCGCCACACACTGGCCACTCAAGGCAGTCCTCGCATGGAGCACAGGCTTGAATACCATAAAATATTAAACCCTTCTGCATAGTTACCTAATGCTTGGTTTTTTTCCCCGAGAAAATATTATAAATATTAATGCAAATCTTGTCCTTCATGTGTGGAGCAACATACAAAATAAAAATAACGCTATAAGAAACAAAATGCAAAGCAAAAAGCTTGATAGTGAAATTTTCTGATGCAGAAGGGCTGAATATTTTAAAGTTCATTTTCATCCAGCTCCCGGCTTGAGCACACATTTCTTTCTTGATGGCAGTACCAAACACTAATATCGTATTTACCCAATATTAATAGGCATGTATTGGCCCCCCAAAATAATTTGCGGATACTAATAATGGGTCATGTATA